TTCATCCCCTGCTTCCTCTGACTGGCTCAGTTTTAGATCTGTGCGTCTGATGAAGAATGATACCATGACCTTCCAGAAATTCTCTTACACCAGTGAAGATGAAGCCTGGAAAACCTACCTAGAGAACCCCCTGACCGCAGCCACCAAGGCTATGATGAGGGTGAACGGAGATGATGACAGCGTGGCTGCCCTGAGCCTCCTCTACGACTACTACATGGTAGGTTCTTGTTGGGGTTGGGTGTGCTGGGGGGGGTTCATCCCAGAGGAGAAGTGTGGAGGTACAACATGTGCTGACTGAGCCACCTTAGGAGGGTACCCACCTCCTGAGCCCTTCACACTGTTCATGAACTGATCCTCGTAGCACCTCCAGGCATGGAGTGTCACTGTTATCCCCAATGCACAGATGGTAAACTGAGGTACAAAAGAGCCTCATACCATAGAGGGAAACCAGGACAGGGTGGAGAACTGAACCCAGGTGTCCTGAGTCTCAGGTTGGTGTTCTTTTTACCCAAAACTGGAATGTTTTCACAGAAACAGAGCTGGAATAGCTAGGTGCCTTGCAGACTGAAGCAGCTCTGTTTTTCCCAGGCTGATGTCAGAAAGGGGCTTCATGAAACATAGGTAGGATTTAGCACTAATGGAAGCCAATAGGACTGATGTTTCCCATTCATCTGGGTGCTTTGGAAAATCTTTCCCAGAAAGAGTTGGTGTGGCTTGCCAAAGGCTACCTTGGTAATCTATGGCAGAGCCAGCAAGAGAGCCCAGGTCTCCTCTGTCCTCACCTGGTGTTTGTTGTTCACCCAGGATTTTATATGCGAGACTTCACTTGCCACACAGACAAGGCTAATTTTGCCTCTGTTTTCCATGAATCAAATCTAACAATAAACCTTTTTTCTGCCTTGTTCTAGGTCCCAAAGGAGAAGAGGATTCTTCCATCTGGAATGATGGGACGCAATGAACTAGGAAAGAGGTTAGCTTCATTTTTTGCTCTCTATAGCTGTCTAATTCTCCTGCAGCTGCTTGCATGCATGATGGGTCTCTTAGCTTGCATAAAATAGACATCAAAGCGCAATGTTATTACCAACAACAGTGGAGGTTATTAGCCCTGAGATGTATATTAAAATTCTTTAGGCCAGATCCCAAGCAGGTGTAAATTGAGCTACACCCATTTATACAACTGAGGATCTGTCTAGCTGTGTTCAGAAGAGTTGCACTGATTTACAGAAGCTGAATAACTTGTCTTTATTTTCCACTTTGTGACACTGGGAAAGGGGAAAGAGATTAAGCATTGGCAGTGAGAAAGGAATGACCAAGTCCTCTTCCATTCACTAAGCTGATAAGGGTTTGTGTTCCAATGCTTCCAGTCTCCTAGGATTCTCTTCCAGTGACTCCCATTTGTCCTTTGAGGTTTTCAGATAATTAACTATGAAATTAATGGCTCATTTGCCACTATGAGTTCAGTTCCCCTTCCTGGATGCCATGTACTTTGGCAGCCTTTTCTGATTGTCTGGTTTTAACTACTTGACAGAATAAGCCTCTTGAATGATACTTCACTCCTTCTTCATAAGTAAGCCAAGCTAAGCTGTTTTCTCTTCTCTGAAATGCCATTGCATTCTAGACAGTATTTCCAGGGGTGGGGTATGTATTTTATTGACAAAGGCAGTAGAACTGAATTCTTGGAAAAGCTCAATATCATATCCTCAACTATCCCAAATGAGCATCGCTTCTTTGCCTCCAGTGAGGTTGTCGAGAGTGGTCAGCTGAGAACTGTCCCACGAATGGATTAGGAGCAAACAAGCAGTTCTGAAATCTTGAACCTGTCCAGAAGGGAATCAAATTCCCTGCTGAGCATCTAGAGCAGGTGTTCATTTTGTCACCTCCTAAGCCCAGAATGGAGGAGACAAGTTATGTTCTAGGACATACAGTGGTTCTCTGAGCACTGGTAAACTTACTGCTGATGGAGAACCACAGAGGTTTCAGCAGATCACTGAAGGTGAAGCTCTTGAAGCAGAGTGGGTGGGAGCTACTGGTTCAGCCTTACTTCCCTTGGGGGCAGCTCATGCTGCCAAGAGGTGTGTAGATTGCTGATGTCGGGGTTGGTTTGTTTTCTGAGCATGGTAACAGGAGCAATAAACCACCTCTTCCCAGCTGAGCTAGGGCTGCAGAGCCGTCAGGATTGCAGTCACTGCTGCAGAAGGGACCTCCAAACAAGGAGATTATTGCCTTGTGCGAGAAGAATGCATTTTTGTTCATGTCTTTATCACTTGATAGCTCCTATACTTAGTCTCTCCTGCTCCTGCTCTGAAGTTTGGGCCATGCACCTCACTTCCAACATTGCAGCCCTCTCAGGTTTTCATGATCTTATGATCCTTGAGAGTTTTGTCAAACCTGAGCTCCTAGAGTTGTGTGAATATGCGCAAGAATCAGCTTCACTTAAAAAAAGAAATTAAAAAAATTTCAGCTTTCAGCAAAATGTGTCAATGAGCCCTAAAAAGACTAAGATGAAAAGACCACACATCATTTACCTTTCTTATCTTTCCCTGCTGCTCTGGGTGTTTAATAACCTAAATAAAGAAAAGTTGGACTTAGGCCCTGTATCTGCAGCCTCAAAATATGTCTAAACCGTATTCTCTGATTCCATGTGATCATCCTTTGCCTGCTGAGCTCCTCTGGCTCCTGCCGATCACGCTGAGAGATGTGTGCATGGGTGGAGATGTGCACCCGCAGGCCTGTCATATCTCCCGTATCAAGCAGGAGATGTACACAGCTGACTCAAGGTCACCTGGAAGCTAGACTGTATAGTTTGCTTCCCAGCTGTGTATCAAGGCACTTGCTTCTTGCTGTGACAACTTGCTGGGGTTGTCCGCCCTCTGCTCTGGTTTGAGATGGGCCCATTTCTCCACCAGGCACTGCCACGGAATGGAGTATGACCCAGAGATCACGTCCTTCGATGGCTCAGCCCATCTCATGAAGCTCTTGTCTGAAAATGTTTCCATGACCCAAGAATATTGTGAGCCACAGAAGAAAAACAGCTTAAGTCTTGAAGGCATCCCTACTTCTCACAAGCCAGCCATGCTTCCACCAGGCACTAGCAAGCTGGATGCTACCCCAGACAACTACATGGTCCCCCCAGGGGATGTATATGACAGCAGCTCACTGAACTCCCTCTTCGAGACCATCCCCGTGGCCCCACCACAGCAGAGGTGGCAGCCAGACAGCACTTTCAAAGAGGATCCCCAGGAGGTCAGAACTGTTAGTGGGTTGCATGATGGCAGTGTGGCATAGGGGTTAGTGCATGAAGCTGTCTCTAGTTTGGGGCTTGCTCATGCTGGTCAGTGGGAGCTTTGCTTTTGCATTAGAAGCTTGATGCAATTCCCATTGAATTAATGTGGTTTTTACATTGATTTTGGAGGTAGGATCAGGCTTTGAAGTGAGATTCCTTTATTTTATCAGAGGCCACTGTTGCTAATCACTGGGAGAAGGTGGATAGGCAAAGCAGTGAAAGATTCCACTTTTGACTGTTTTATTTCCATTTTCTGCAGTCGCTGCTCTTCAGTGATATCCTCAAGCCCCCGCCAGAGCCACCTTGCCCTGAGAGTTATGCTGCTGATGGTGTTAAGAGGTAACTGCCAATCCACGATCTCTGGGTTTCCAGTTCAGAGGAGAGACAAAAAGGAAGATGACAGTTGAACAGGGTGAAGACCAACCTCCTCATAATCTAAGGGTTAGGTTCTTACCTTGAGTTTGGCCCTGTTAGACAGTCAACATTGCTTTTAGAAGGTGCCACTGCTTCTCATTCCTAAAACACCTCCCACTTTCTATTTGCCTCTTGAGTCACCTGACTCCATGAGTCAGCTGTCAGACGTGGAGATTTTCACACAGCAGCTCGCATTTGTTAGTGAGAGGCTTTCTGTTTGCTGTTGATTCATGCACAAGAGTTCTCTGGCTCTCCTGGCACTAGAAAAGAGAAGTTGCCAAGCGTATCTTCAGAGCTGGCATCACAGGGGAGTGGCAAAGCAGGACAAAGAGATGGTTTGGTGACTAAATAGGAGTACGGTGATCTTCAGCTGAAGGGAAGTTCAAGGGTCTGTGTGAAGGCTTGCATACAGGTGATGGTTTGCCCAGGTTCCTCACACAAGAAAATACCTTGAGCTGTATCTTCATGGTTTAAGTGCTCACAGGTCCTGGTGAATGCCTGAGTGCAGAGCTTCTTGAAAAATCTCTCTCTTGAATTAACTTGTCAATAGTGATGCCTTCCTCTGTCTAAGACTACAAATCTTCTCTACAATCTTACTTTTCTATTATCTTTTCTTTAGTCTTAGTAAAGATTAAAGTTGCTGGCCACCAGACTGAGAGTCCAAAAAGCTGGACTTCTAAATCCATTTTTAACCATGTAAATAAACAAGCAGATGTCAGCGTCCTGCAGCCCCTATTGTTTCTAGACAAGGACTCAGTCCCCCTGGATCAGTCATTTATGGAACTTGGAGACAGGAACCTGAGTTTAGGATGTTTTAAAGATCTCATGACAAGTACTTATTTTTATTTGTTCTGGTTCAGGCTCTGTGTTGTGCAATGCTTCTGTAGTCATCTACAGAAGAATACTGGTTAGAATAATGTATGGGGATTTTCAAGCCATAAACACAAACAAAGGGTAAAATGAGGATACCAGAGAACTGCTGTTCCCCAGGGTGTTGGGAGGATCAGTATGTTCTGTACTGCAAGGAGCTGGATCACAACAGTAGGGGGGGTGTGCGATAGGGAATAGGGCAGAGATTCCTGGGTGTGTAGTATCTGTAATCTGTAAGGATGAAGACTTGCATTTCTCTTATTTTGCTTTTGGAGTGAAACAGCAGTGTGTACTTATTCATCATTCTCTCTTTGTTCCATACAAGTGACTTTGAATACACTCTGGGGTCTCCCAAAGCCATTCACATAAAATCTGGAGACTCTCCCATGGCCTACCTCAACAAAGGACAGTTCTACCCCATCACGCTGCGGACAGCTGGAGACAGTAAATGTTTACACTTGTCTTCAAATAAAGTGAAGGTAAGAGACAAGCTGACAATTTTGCTGACACATGCTATAATCAGACATCCAGCAATTGTGCTGGCCTGGGAACAGAGTAATGGCTTTGTGGCTCATGATGGCTTAAAGCAATGAATGGGACGGATTCACTCACAGCAGGCTAATCCTCTGATGCACAGCAACAGCCTTCGTCTAGCCAGGCAGTTTGAAACCTCTCAGTCAGCTCAGGGATGCACAAAAGGCCTCCCTAGCTGATGGGTGGGTGGGGGCCCTGGTGGGAAGAGTTTGGATGGACCTGGAAAGAAGTTCCCCTGTCTTGTTCCTGGGATGTGTAGCCAGGCCCCAAGACTAACTGAGCTTGAGTTCCCAGGGAAGAAAGCTGGTCCTCCAAGCCTGGGATATGTTACAGGATTCCTGAAACTGAACGTCTGGAAAAAGACCTTTAGGCTTTTCCAGCCTAATGCCTGCTGAAACATCCCCACTAGTGCAGGATCCTTGCATGCCTGGGAATCAATGGGAGTTCATGGGCTGTGCAAACAGTGGGTATTCAGGGCATCTCAGTTGTGCTCCTGCCACTGCGGCTGCCTATCTGCATGACCATGGCTAAGGCCCTTCCCCTCTCTGCCTCAGTTTCCCCCGCAATAAAACATGAACAATGACACTAAGCTGCCCTTGGCCATGCATGCAAGCCCTGGAAGCAAAGGGCACTGAGTGCCCCAAGCATTAGCCTGCTGTATATACTGATATAGGATATCCTGGCTGTGTTACAGAGTGTTGTGATGATTGTTTTTGACAATGAAAAGATCCCCACGGAGCAGCTCAAGTTCTGGAAGCACTGGCATTCCCGCCAGCCCACAGCTAAGCAGAGAGTCATTGATGTCGGTATGGAGTGGGGCCCTCTGATGGCGATAGCTGGGTGGGGTTGCCAACTTTTTAACACCAGTTTACTGCATTTCCAGTACAGGGTAACCGTTGCAGCTCCAGAATTTGGCCTGGGGAAAGTAGGGAGGAGCAGGCAGATCTGCTAGCTTCAGATCCTTTCTGTCTGAGGAGCTTCTGAGGGTTTAAAGTGGTGATTACCTGGTGTAGGGACATGCTCTAGGAACTCAAGGTACATCAGTATGTAAAGAAGAGGGACAGAAAGAGCTGAACAATTTTGGCTCTGACAGATGTGACCTGTGGCCGCTTGAACAGTAAGAATCTGAGCTAGAAGAGGCTTCAGTACTGCTTATCCTTCTCCACTGCCAGCACACAGGTTTTACCGTGCATCATGCTGAGCCAAACAAAGGCTTTGTCCGTCCAGCTGAGCCACTTGCTGAGCATATCACTGCTCAGAGCGAGGCTCGCTGTTGTTTGAATTTAGAAGCCAATCTACATGGACTTTGTCTAAAATAACTACTCAAATGGCAGTCAGTAGCCAGGATCTCTGAGTCATTTCTGGCCTATCCCTTACGTGTGCACACTAAGATTTATCTAGTGGTATTGAGGAATGCCTCTATTATATTATATTAGCCTTAGAGTCAGTGAGTGGCAGACTTTTGGGGAGTGGAAAGCCTAGGGAATATAATCAGTTTTGCAGCCAATGTGTAAACTGTATCTTCATTGCATTTTAGCTGATTGTAAAGAAAACTTCAACACAGTGCAGAACATTGAAGAGTTAGCCTACAACGCGCTGTCCTTCGTGTGGAACATCCATGAGGAAGCAAAGGTACAACCTGCTTGCAGAAGGGAAATGGGAAGCTTTTTTTCCGCAGCAAAACTGTAGCCTCCCTTCTGATGGCTCAGGCACGCTCCCCCTCTCTCAGCTGAAAGATGGAGTAGCAAATCCAAACAATGCCATTCCAGTGGCCCCAGGTAGTGTTTGTCTGCCAGGGACGGCAGGGAAGGACACTGTGCTTCTCTGTGTGTTTAAGCATTGCCATTAGCTAATAAATATTCTGGCTACACCTGAGATTGGCTCAGAGATGTTTTTCTAGTGCTGATGGATAACTCTGAAGAAAGCCTTTTGCAGCAGTCAGCCTAGATCAGGACTCTACAGACATGTAGGTGAAGCCTATTTAAATAAACCACAGCTTAGGGAACAAAGACCCTCCTTTGAAAGGCAGCATTTTGATGCAGAAATGACTGGCCACCCTTTTCAAGCTTGTGTGATGTGGAAGGGAGCCAGACAGGTCACAAGATCGCTTTTGACCTTAAAATCTACGAAAACTGATATCAACATCTTTCCTGCATAGAGAAGCAAGTGTTCTACTCTTTCTTCTGCATCTCCTCAGATTCTCTTGTTAGCAGTTTGTCATCTAGTATGGCTTGAAAGGAGCGTATAAAAAAAGATGAAGGAACCAAGAAAAAAGAAAGGCAAAAATCCTGTCTCTCTGAAACTGGTAGCTTGGGAAAACTCTGGTTTTCTTTAGGATCTCAATAAGCCCTTCTTTTAGCCCAAAGGCGACCTTGGTCTTTTACAACCCAAGAGGTTAACAAATGTCTTCAAGGCAAAGTTGTCAGAAATGGAAATATGTCAGGTATGTGGTAAGCCCTCAGGGGCACCTCAGCAAAACTGGATTTAACTCTTAGCAGAAACTCTGTACATGCACTGGCCTGGGGCTGGTAAAGGTGAGACTTCAGAGAGCTGCCAGGGCTGGGAGCCGCGACAGGAGGGGTCAGGTATTTGGGTTGTCTGTAGCACCTGTTACTTCTCTTCTTGCAATTAAACTTCACACCATAGCTAAGTGATTTCTTTTCTATATATAGGTACTGACTAGATCTGACATTAAATTTCAGGGCTGAAATCCTCAGCTGAAGCCCTGCTGAGGGAGCTGTGTGAGATTCAGCAGCTCTGAATCTGCCCCCAAAGAGTCTAGGGGAATTTTCACGGTCATGCAAATGAGTTTGTAATTTGGAGATACAATGCGGATTATGTCTATGCTCAGCTCTTTTTCAGAAGTTCCCACTGGAGGTAACTCCATTCTAGTGATAAAGGAGACCAGTGCAGGATGAATATTTATTTAACCTACAGCAACAATCTATAATTCCTGAAGCTGTAACCTAGCCCTCCTCTGTTCCTCCAGGCCATTGCTGTGGGGTTCTCTTGTTCAAATGAAAGATCGGAAACATCAGCAAGAACATCTCCAGGCAGACTTTGCATCTTGTCTGAAATTTGCCTAGGCTGGTGGGAGTGGGTAGCCCATGCATTAATAGAGAGCAGGAGACAATCAGGGACATAACAGATTGCAGTATGATGAAGGACGAGTTGTCCATGCAAAGCTGTTTCTGCTGCAGAGCTGCAGCGGGCGAGGAGGAAAGCGTGGCTAGGAAGGACCTGTTGCTGGGCTCAAGTGGGAAGCAAGCAGCCCACGTACTCAGTCGAGGCTAGGAAGGTTGGCAGGATGTCCCAGAAGCTGCTTTTGTTCCACCTCCCTGTTCTCACTGCTGTTCGAGGCTAACGTTCACAACCCCAAAAAGCTGTATCAAACTCTGTTCTTATTTGCAGGTATTTATTGGGGTGAATTGCCTGAGCACCGACTTCTCCTCCCAGAAAGGAGTGAAAGGTGTCCCGCTGAACCTCCAGATAGACACGTATGACTATGGCAATGGAACCACCCAGCTGGTGCATCGCGCCGTCTGCCAGATCAAAATATTCTGCGATAAGGTAGAACATTTCTCTTCCACCAGATTATCCAAGAGGAATTTTAAACTGGTGGCCAGCAACTCCAAGAGAATAGATTGAAGGGCTGTGAGATTATAGAACTGACTAGATGACAGGCCTGAGGAATAGAGGTGGTTCAGACACCTCAGTCAAATTAGCTAGGACAGCTGGGATGTGCTTGCATTGCCTGGCCCTTTATAGCACAGAGTCCTTAGAACGTTTTCTCCGTGTTAGGTCTACATGGGATCGTGCCTCATAATAAATTCTCTAATTCTAACAAGTTTTTAAATAACACAAGAGATGAGAATCTCCTTAGAGGTTCTTCCCCAGACTCAGATATCTTCCTGTGGGAAATTTCTCATGGCTATTTTTGTCTGCATTTTTGATTTTTAGAAAGCATATTTTGCTTTTTTCTACTTTATAAATACCCGTTCAAATTTATCTCCTTTTTCTGGGTGGCCTGTGGGAAGTCTCTGAGATGAACTTTTTTTTTTTAATAAAGGCTGCCTTTTCCCTTCATGTGCCAGCTTTCCCAGGGAAGGCCAGTAAACCGCTAGTGCTGCAGTAGAACTATCAGTGTCCTAATTTTTGCCTCATCTTCCCCTCAGGGAGCAGAGAGGAAAATGCGAGATGATGAACGGAAACAGTTCAGAAGGAAAGGAAAATGTCTGGACTCCAATAACAATGGTCAGTGCTAGTGTGTGTCACCGATCCAAAGGCTGCTGAAATCCATGTAAGCCTGTCTGTTAACTTCCACGAGATCAGGCCCTGAGTATTGTTATGCCTGATGAAATCAGCATCATTCAGAAACAGCATGTCAGTCAGATCCTTGCCTGGTCTCCTGCTGAGACTCTCAGAACACTTTATTAATACTAACAAATCTTCCTGAATCATCCTGGAGTCTTGGCAGGGAGCCTTCCCTAATAGAGAGAGCACTTGGCAAGCCCTGAATACCTGGGTCTGTTGGGTTCTGTCTTTTTTCTAGTATTCCTGTTGGGAGACTTTGGGTAGGCCCCTTTCCCCTCCCTGTAGGTAGTCGCCTCTTAAAGTTCTGGAACGGGGAAGTGTGGAACAACAGATGCCATCTGAACCGTGGTGAACTGGACTTTCCATCTGTAGGTCTGAAAGGTTGTTTGCTGTCCGGCTTCAGAGGAAATGAAATCACGTTTCTGAGGCCAGAGACTGACCTCGAAACCCAGCCAGTCCTGTTTATTCCCAATGTCCATTTTTCAAATGGGCAGAGATGTGGCACGGTAAGTCTCTCCCAAAAACAATTAGCCTGTTGCCCTCATCAGCCTGTCATCCCCATAATTTTCAAACGGATCAGTTCCCCAGATATGACTTGTGCTGTGCAAAAAACGAAACCAAACTCCAGCTCTTTTGTGGAAATGTTGCAAACTTGAAGACATAGCTGTCAAGTAGCCTAGATAATCTTGCAACAATGATGGGCAAGAAGACCTTTCCAGGTTCCTTCCAGACATATTTCTGTGGTTTACAAGTATTAACTGCAGCTTCTACAGAAGACTGGAGTGGTAGCAAAAATATTGGCAGAAAGTGAACTACAAAAAAAATGCAACCATATCAGTCCCTCTGTGTGTGGGACATCCTACACTTCTCCTCCTCTCTTCTCTGTTCCTTTGAGCCTGAAGAAACCTAGGTCCTTCAGAGCTCATCAGTATTTCCTCAAGAACAAACTCTGCCTCAGCTTGTTAAAAGGAGTAGAAAAAAAGTGTCTGTCACAATACTGTAGCATCCTACTACAGTGGCTGCTGAACTGAGATATCAGCAGCAAAAACAGGGAATAAAATAATCTGGTTTGCAACCAAAGAACTCACTGAGAAACTGTTGGTTCTTATCACAAGCAGGTTATGTGATTTGAGCTGCTTTTAGGTCTAGCTAGATGCATGTTCAGGATTCTGCTGGATGGAGGAGGAGAGTCTAGATAGGGTCTCTAGATCAGTTTTCATTTAATCCAAGAAACATGTATAGATGCTTGGGTTTAATTGTGTTATCTAGGAAAAATAATGGACCGGGAGGAAGGGAGTCATTTAAAATGATGAAGTGACCAAATTTGCAAGCCCAAGAGTAGCCCATGTTGCTCCCCACCAGCTTCGTTGTCACACAGTGATAATGTGCAAACTAAAAGATCAATATTTCCTTTCTGTTTCAAGGTGCTCCCTCCTGCTGTTCCCAACGCTGCAAACAGGTAAGGATGCAGCAGTTTGTATTTCTCTTCCATCAGCTGCTCAATCTCTTTGGGCATGTCATGGTTATTTGATATCCAGAAGGCAGTATATATCTATAGATGCAAAATAACATAGCACAGTATCTCCCTGGAGCCCTTCAGTGTCAAAATATGTGTTAAACCTAGGCCTAGAATGGACTCAAGGGATTCAGAAGCACAGATACATTTCTTATCAGTGAGCTCCATGACTCCGGTCCATGACTGTCCTGCTATTCTTACTGAGACAAAATTTAAAAGGAAAAAAAAAAGATCACAGTACAGTCACTGAAAGGCTCAAGTAACCAGAGGCAGATACAGCTGTAAAAGAAAATAGAATAAAGTAGAGATCACACTTGTAGTATCACTGCAGTGGGAAGGTACAGGTAGGCCTGATGCACTATCTAGTGAAATCAATGACAAAACTTCCAATAACATGAAGGTGGATAAGTGTTTTGTTAGAGATATGATACTAAAATCACAGCTTCCATTCACTGAAGTCCCTGGAAATGTTAGGCAGGAAGGTAACATGGCCGAGTTGCAACTCTGGTAGATACTCTGCTGCCATAATTACAGAACCTATATTTAATTGCTGGATGTTTGTTGGAATAATTAGTTGTTCAATCAAAAGTTCAGTGGCTGGAATTGTTTTATTTGTTCTGTCCTCATAAGAGTATCATATTCCTTTTGCTTAGGTTGCCCTTAAAACGGAGTGGTGCCTCATTCACAGATGAGTTCGAACCAATACCTCCAAAGCAAACCAAGGAAGAAGATCCGCAAAGAGGTAACCCCTGGGGTGGGAACTCTTCTTGAATGTGGTGTTTCATTTAACCCAAGTAATCTTGGATCTTGAGTTACATGAGGCCAAACCATTCTGACAACATGGTGCAAAGATCCCTAATTCAAAGCTGTGCTTTCTCTCTTTCAGTCTTGTTGTACGTGCGGAGGGAATCAGAGGAAGTATTTGATGCTCTCATGTTGAAGACGCCAGACCTCCAGGGCCTCAGAACTGCTGTAAGTATTTTCCAAAAACTGTGGTGCATGAACTAGCTGCCAATAATGAGGGTTGTGGCATATAGGAAATTGGACTTTCAGGGAGAGGACTGTAGACTGCTTACATCTCACATCAGCTGTCTTTTGAGAATGAAAATGGAGCGTTGTGGGTAGCAGATGAATTCTCCCCAGAGCCCCCAGCTTGGGCTTCTTAGCGCTGTGGAAGGGGAGAGCACATCTTATGGCAAGATGTTTTGTTCGGATCACAGTATAAAAGCCCCTGGAGTCTCCTCTTGTGACAACACAATCATATTTTCCATTGTAAAACACCCTTCTCTGTTCTCAGGCTGTATCAGTGCAATCTGAAGCCAAGGTAGTTCTGGCCTCCTGCTGGAATTCCCTGCTGTTGTGTTTGAGAAGCACACAGACATATTTCTGTGATGATTATCAGCAGCATCCCTGATAATTCACCTCTCTTTGGGGATTGCTGGGAAGGAAACAAACAATAAACCTCCCAGATTTGGGGTGGCTTTATGGCTGCACTTTGGGCTTTGTTGGTTTTACAGACTTTTAAAAACAGTGTTTGAAAAATGTCAGCACATAAGATTCTTTGCCACCTTCTTCCTCCCCCATCCCTCACTGCAGAGAGACAAAAACCTCTACAGAAAATGCTGTGAAGAAAATACAAAACTCCCCTGCCATGCAAATTGCCTAAGCTCGTACCTGTGCTTGCCTAGGAGGCTTCTACAGGAAGGCTTTGCGGATTGCCTAAAACCTGAGTAAAGAGGTGGTCAGGTGCATGCACAGCAGACACAGTCAAACACTTTCTATGGGATTTTGTCTCACATTTGGATGCATCATTGAATGAAAAGTTCAGTGCTCTCTGTGTCCAACCGGTTGAAGTATCAAGACCCAAATAGGCTGGGGAATGAGAGGAGGAAAATTAAGATAATTCCCAAAGGTTTCCTGGCCTGGCAGTAGCAGTCAGAAAGAGAACCAAGGCTAAGTTGAAGCCTACCCTGTCTGCCTACTGCAAGAAACAGACATGTTCAAATTATCCTCTTCAGATCATTGATTTGGCCCTTTTTTCTTTAGTAAAAAGGAGGGGAAATCCTTAGCTGCTGAATGCCCTTGGCTCAATGTTATCTTTGATTTTTATTGTAGGAATTTTATTTTACAAGTACAAAAAACTGCCATGTTTTCTCTTGCAGATTTCAGAAAAATATGGGCTGCCTGAAGAAAGCATTTATAAAGTCTACAAAAAATGCAAAAGAGGGTAAGCTAATCTCTCATCTGCTTTTATGCTGTGCTTCTAAAACCCCATTCTCTTTGGTACCCTGCCATGGGCTGCAATAGCATTTTAACAAGATAATAAAAAGTAAAACCATGTGAGGTCTGTACCATTTGGAGCATATAAAACTTGGATCTCTCTGGGCTTTAAAGATTTGGGATAATGCTTGTTTGTATTATATTTATTTGGAGTGTAAAGTCTCCCAAAGAAAGGAACTGGGATGAAGGAAGAATTGTTTGGGTAGTTTAATGGGTGATCCCTTGTGTCTCAGTCTGAAAGCCTGAGGTTATAGAGAACTTATCTTATTGCCATCAGAGAAGTATAAATGTTTGCTTCTTAAAACCAACTGCCTAAGTGTTCCTGGGTTTTGCTCTGGCTCAGGAAGAGACCTTATTGGCTAAATAAGAGCGTGGGCAGCCCCAGTACAGAGGAGGGGAGATCTGAAGGGGGAGCCTCTGTTCCCAGCTTTGCCATCCCATCCCCAGACCCCTTCTTATTGACTTTGGGAGATGATGGATCAAACTCTCCTTTTAAAACACTTTACAAAGAATTGTCAGGAAATCTAGTGGGGACCTGTCTCCTCCAGGAGAGGAAAGCTATTCCTGGTGTACCTTGTGCTTGTGTGTGTACCACCAGCAACTGAATCATCCCCAGGGAATGCTAGAGGAAGTCTTCCCCACCCTGTTCCACGTGGCACATCTGCTGAGGGGTGAACACTGGTGCCTCCTTGTCCTCGGTGGACCGTTTCATACCATACTGACAGTCACTTTGATGTCCACACCGGGAGTGCACAAATCCTTCATCCAGGGGCTCATACTGCTTGTGGCACAATGATCACATTGAGAGCACTTTCACTCTACCTAAATACTCTGATGTGATTTTCTTGGTCTGGAAAGCTGTGATCCTCAGCCTCAGGGACATAGCTTGATGCTGTGACAGAGATTTTGTCCTGATAATGCCAGGGCATGGAGCAGCAAATAACTGAGACACAGGTGAAATTCTTAATCTGATACTGCCTCAAATGGAGACTTTTATTGTTGAGATCAAGAGGTCCTTCAAAGCCACAAAGTTCTTCTTTGGCTGGAAAGGGCTCAGGAATTGTACTGAAGCTGTGTACAATGCAGGTTTCTGTTGGTCTTTCATTCTTTGCTGATAAATACCAAAGAATATGTCTTCAGAACTGCAGCATGGAGTAGGCAGAAGAGGTGAGAGGCTGGGCTGTTTTTAACCAGACTCCTTACTAAGTCTGACTTTTGAGGAGTAGTTTTGCCTGACGGGGAAGTCACTAATACCCCTGGGACAAGACAGGTCTTTCAGCGGCAGAGCTGGCAATAGGGACAGGAATGACACTGGAGCATCTGGCTCTGGGTTTAGTTTGGAAGAAATATTTAGACCCCACTGAAACTGAACCAGAAACTGAGTGAAACTACAGGGTTCAGTTGGTTGTAGTTTGTCTGGTGAAACACTCATTTAACACACAAAATACATAAAAATAACCCAGCTGTTGCCCCGTGTGCTGTGTTACCCTTGCAGGAAGAGACACGGCCTGTCGGTGTGAAGGCAAGGCTCTGCGCAGCTTCACGTGCAGCAAGGGGCTGTGCATACCCCAAGGCTGCAGATCACAAATCTAGAGCGATGGCAGCTGCCTGTGCTCTTGGGGCAGCCCTGGGCACAGGTGGCTCTTGTGCAGCCCCAGCACAAACATGTAGGTCCCCTTTGAGAAGCCTGTTAGGTGCTGCTGGGAGATAGGCACAGCTCTGCAGGGAGATATGGATGAGGTTTCCAGTGAAATGGCTTCTCAAGTGATTTCAACGTGGTGTTTGTTAGTGAATGATCCCTGTGGGTCTTCCCCATGGCTGAGAGGTAACAGTACTAGTTTGCACGAGCCAAGGACCAGCCACTGAGCTTTCAGTGGAGGGCAGTGGCCTTGACGTGGAGCCAGTTGCTACTTACAGAAATGGTTTGCAGACTAAAGAACTCCCTCTGGGTCGCCCCTGTCTCTCGCAGCAAGCTCTCCCTTCAGCTGATGTAAAGGGAGAGACTCATAAACTCCCAAGCTTATTTTCATAAAGCTAAATCCAGAGTCCTCCTTGCAGAGTGAGCAAGATACCATCAGGCTTTGCAAGCACCAGTGACTGCCTGGGAGATGAACTCATTGTTGTTACTGGCCCTGGGCCAGAGTTTGCGCATGGAGAGAGACAGACAGAAAAGCAAGGCTGATGACGGGTTCCGCGTTACGCAGCCCTGCTGTTCTCACTAACGCGGCCCCTCAGGGAGGTCCTCTGTATAACGAGACAAAGGAGGCTGTGACAGATGTCTTGGGAAGCTGAGGGTTAGTCTGAAGCCGTGCTTGCTGCCTTCACTTTCCGCTGACAACGGCATGAGAAAGTCCTAAAGCTCCTCGGATGGGACCTTCCAATTTATTTGCTGTTGCCCTAACTTGATCCCCCTAGGACTTAGCCTGTTGTTTCAGTGGGAGTGGAGTTAAAATGTGGCCTGGTGGTGGGAAGGGGAGAGAGGGTGGTTTCTCCTCTGTGCTGTGGTGACGTGGGGTCACTGAAGTGGGAAGCTGTTACAGCCCCTTCACCTGTAAATCCACAATTGAGCCACCTGTCTAGCTCAGAAGGGTACTTAAATACGGACCTAATTTTAAGCCCATGGGTCATCATAGCGATGTATCTGAACTTGTCAGGAGGCTCTTACTCATGTTCCTGAACTCAGGGCCCTCAGTGCTGTCAGATGATGCACATCCAATAGCCCTGGAAATGGAAATTTTCTCCCCAAACACAAAGAGCCGCACTGGCAGCCCCAAGGAAGGGTTGTCCCATACACCTCCATTCAGACTGCACCTCATGTCTGGTCTTGAAGAAGAAATGTGAAGGACAGGAGTGTTCACTTTATTATTACAGTCTCCAATTTCAGGACTGAGCCAAAACTCAGATGTGTCAGCTGTGCTGGTGGCTTGTGATGTGGCCATCACAGGTCATCAGACTGTCATCAGGTGATAACTACTCTCAAGTATCTCACTTGGGCTGGAGTTTTCTGACAGTGAGCATCTGCACAGCAAGATAGATCCAAGCACAGATGAATTTGCAGGTGGACCAGGAAATGGCACTGCTTCAGGGGAGAGGCTACCTATACTTTGTTTTGCTTTGGTTTTGGTCATTACTCAATCTGATAAGCAGTGAATGTTGTATAATGATTGGGAGGGAGAACAGGCAGGTGTCCTTTATATCTCTTCTCCAAAATGGAGAAGCAAAGAGATATCTTATGAATAGGAAAGGCAAGACCTGTAAATTGGATCAAATAAAATATTTTGACAGCTAGATTATAATGAAAGCTGGACTTGATGCCATGGGTTATTGCTGAAGTGTGGGGGAGATGTAAGCTTTTCTCCAGTCTGCTAAATCGCAGGGTCAAATACTGTTTCCTGCTCACTCTCCAAGATTTAATTTTCCTTTGAATAATTTTATGCTGTTGCTCCACCCTAAATAATCCTCTCTTGGTAATTACAGCTTGAGGGCCAGATCTTCATCTGGTGTAAACTAGTGAAGCTCAGTGGCACTACCTTGATTTACAGCAGGTGAGGACCTACCATCAGCCATGGTCTTTGTTAGTGTGATGTCCTCATTCAGATGAACTTAGTCTCAGAGTGACTCAAGAGCAATAATAAGTAATTTTATATCTTGGTGAGGTTTGGTCTGGAAAAACAATACAGGGCTTAGATTCCTAATCAACACTCCCTTGACTCTTCTGTGGTTGAGAAATCAGATGGAAACATGGTAGCAAGAGGCACAGATGGCTTCCTTGGCTTCCTGCACTAAGATAGCCAGAGATAATTGAAACACTCTTAGCGATACCCACCCTTGGGTATCCACGCTGTGTCACTGAGGGCACCAGACCGAACATCTGGAGAGGCCAGATTCCCCGGGATCGAGGGAAAAGGCAAGCTCCTGCAGGGAATTGGGGAGCAGGACCTCCTCCTCAGTGGGCACGTTGGGTACTTAGGGCTCAGCAGGGCAGTATCAGATGCAGTGGGAGTAACAGATGCAAGTGCTTTCTCCTGTATTTTTACCTCAGCTGGTTGCTTTCTTGCCTCTGCTTATGGGCACCAGTTTTCAGACTGAAATGAGTAAGGTATGTCACCTCCCATCTGTAGATGGCTGAGATGTGCGAATCTACAGAGAGGTCCCAGCTCTCAGCCCAGGTCACCTGGGTTTAGGGTTGTGCAATGCAGCCCCGTGGGGCATGGCCACAACCCTCGCCTGCCCAGGACCACCCCGAGCAGCAGGGAGGTGGCTGCAGCTCTCTGCATCGGGGACGGCTGAACTGCTAGGAGCCACCAGGGGAGAACGGCTCAGCAAGAGCGGGCAGGATCCGGTGGCTGAGCGTGTGCCTGAAGTGAACCGTTTCCTTTTGCCTCCAAGCAGCCCCAGCTCCTCCGCTGCTGTTGCCAAGGGAGCTGAGAAGCAGCCATTCAGTTTATGACTCATTAGGGAAGACCCCGGGCAGTGCCAGACGCAGTGTCTCAGCACCCCGCTGTGCTGGACCAGATGCCCATCCCTGAGCGTGCCACGAGCGAGTCTGTCTGCAAGGCCTTTGGAGCTCCACTGAAGGGCCTGCAGAAGAGCCTGGTGCTGAGCCCGAGCACCAGACTCATGCCCAGAACAGGCTGGCCACAATGGCAGCACTCCCACTCGCTCCGAGAGAGGAGGACGCGCTGGCCCAGGGCTCTGACGAGCCTCCGCGCACGTGCTTTGGCTGAACGGGCAGGAGCCGGTTGCTGTAACCCAGTGTGGCTGTGCCCACCTCCAGGGCATTCCCCCGCGGGACACGAGGGCTCGTGTCTATGCCAGTTGAACTGTTAGATTTATTAGGTGCTCAGCCTTTTCTTTTTCTTGTTCTTAATCTTGGCTTCTGGAGCATTGCATAATTAATGCTATTGCCCCATTAATGACCCCAGCAGGAACCTGGAGGGGATGTGCTTTCTGCAAGGAAAGATAATTTGTTCTCTTTGTTTCCTCCAAACAGTTACAAATTTCACATCTGGTTTACGGAAACACAGTGGGGTGGTGGAAAACTGCCCCCTTACTTCCCTTACAATAAGGAGGGGCTCTTGCCTGGCAGAGAACCGCAGCCTCCAGCTTAAATCAGCTGTTGAAATGTTTCTTCTTCCCATGTCTCCACGTTAACTGATGCTAGGTCAGGGAAGCTGCAGCGATCTGCAGCCGGGTTGCAGGTGGGCCCTGGAGCAGCACAGCGAGGAACTGGCCATCAGCTGCCCCAGCTGGCTCTGCACGTGGAGCCTGTGTGTGTTCCTCCCAGAGAGGGCTCCCAGGCAACGCTTAGGGCACGGCTGCATGGGAGGTTGTTCTGGAATAGGAAAAGGGTGTCCTCTTCCAAGCCAGTTACATCTACTCCCAAAGCAGTCTCAGCTTGTTCAGAATAACGCATCCCTAAAAGCACCCAGGCAAGAAGCTCAGAGTGAGCAATTCTGCTCTACATTCATGCCGTTATCCAGATTAATTTGCCTGGGTAGTAAACACTGGGCCTAGACATGTCAGAGGGTAGAATTACAGAAAGCATGGCAGGGTGTTTCTTTGCGTTATATCATGGCTCTAATACCCTGAGCCCCACCGGTCGGGTAAGGTGGGCGCTGCAGCGTCTTCCTGTGCCTGCCTGCGGCTGTGACTCCTGGGGCAGCCTGGCAGCGGCTGCTGAATGTAACCACCAACTCACCCAGCTGAGGGGACAAGGCGCGCGTCTGCGTAACGTGGCGCTGATCTGCAGTGGTGGCAATTTTAAATGGGAGGTTCATGCAGAGACATTTCAGCCAAGAGGCCACACAATTGTGCCACCACCCCATTCCACGAGGCTTTGCCAGTGACGTTATTCCTAGTTTGCAGCTGGGGGACGTGAGGCCTGGTTGAGCAGCCAGAGTCCAGCCCTCCCGAGCAAGCTGCTTCATGAGCCTTTAGCTGTGCTGTGTCTGACTCGGCCGTTCTCCCCCTCCTGCAGGATCCTGGTGAACATGGACAACAACATCATCCAGCACTACAGCAACCACATGGCCTTTCTCCTAGACATGGTGGAAGCGGAGGACAAGATCCAGGTCATCCTCAAGGAGCTATAAAGAGCCGCAGGCAGCACTTACTGGGACTTCTCTCAAAGCCGGCAAGTTTGATCCAACAGAACGCAGCCTAGTGCCTCAACTTGTTGCCTTTACTTGAATACGCTGCCTCTGGGGAGGGACTCGGCCACGTGGTGCCGGGCCAGAGACTACTTGGAAGATCTGTTAGCGATGTGAACATGAACTTCTCTCTGTTGAGTTTATTATTATTATTTTTTATTTTATTTTATTTTATTTTATTCCCTCTGGCAATGGGCCTGACCTTCTGTTTCACAGCTGGGAACGCAGCTACACTAACATGGCTGTCAGACAGAGCCTGAGCAGAGACAGGGGACTGCCTTTGCTCGTTGTTTGCCTTGGCCCGTGACTGATCCAACCGTAGGTAGGCCTTGGCTTTCTCCCAAACCATCAGTCATGCAGAACCTTCAAACCATTTCCAGTAGGGCTGAGCCCAGCTCTGAGCGTCTCTCTGTCCACAGAGATTTTCACAGATACATGTAAAACTCACTTTTGAACGGACACTGCCTGCTCCCATGCCCCCCAACCCTGCCATAGCTCTGATTGTAAATACCATGAAGGCCTCCATAGCCCTTGTTTATACATTTCTGATGTATTGTTCCTTTTATATTTTATATACGTATAAATACGCATTGTTTTATATTTGACTCAGTACGGTGACACAGAGCATTTCAAACACAGGCTGCTTCACGTTTCTCTGTGAACTCCTTTTGTAACTGTGTTGTTGGTTTTGTTGTTTTGGATATTCTGTAGCAATAAAGGTTCCAAGATGGCAAGTGAACAGTATTCACCCAGCTCTGGAGGTTTGCGTTGGTAAGGTCTCAGGAAGGGCTGAGCAGGAGTCCGGGCAGGGAGGTGACCTCAGCAGCACACCAAGGACTCATGGTTGTTTTTGATGCCCACAGTTTAACAGCATGAGACATTTGTCAGTCTAAACTGCGCCTCCATGAAGGGCTGATAGGTGGCTAATGCTACCTACGTGCTCATGTCTGCAGCTACCGCTTTCATCATGTGCACCTTGACTCCTCTCCTCCGCCCTCCCCTCCTGCCAGCTGGGCTCTCCCTGCGGGTGTCATGCGGTGCAGGCTGCTGCAGACGTGCCGTCACTGCGCTGCAGGCGAGCACAGGTTACTGAGCAGTTCTAGGCACATCCCTTTGCCGACGGAGAAATAACTGCTCAGAGGTGTTACGTACCACAGATTTGGTGAAATTTTAAGCAAGTCAAAAAGAAATTTCCTAGTTTACTTCCATTAATTGGAGGACCAGCTCAGCCTTTATTTTTGGGAGAGGTGGTGTTAGCTGATGGCCAGTCAGGTACCTACATGTGCTGCACCAGCTGCTACCCACTGCCTAGACAAACAGGCTGAGACACAAGAGGGAGAGCTGGACACTGCCGAGGGGGCGCAGGAATCACAAGCACTGTGACCTGGAGACACGCAGCCGTGCTCTGGTGTTACATGGAAGGAATGAACATAAGACACAAAATCACAGGAAACTGGGTTTGACTAGTTCCACTGCTCCCAGAACAAGAAGTGTGAGTGGGGAAGCTCATCCTCTGTCAGGGATAACAGTAACCTTCTCCTCTTTCCTCCCTATGTTCTTCTCACTTCCCAAACTCCTCACACCTGCTACCTCTCAACCCCCAGTCCTTCACCCATGAGTCCCCTGTGCTGACAGCTGTCTGCAGCTGCTTCCCATTAGGTAAAAAACCACCAAGGGGAGCCCTGTTTTTTCTCATTTGTCTTCTGACCACTGAGGACTTTCTTCTTGCCTCTTTGTATGCTTCACCCTGTGCTTTTCCTATCTGTATTTACTGTAACCAGTAAATGGAGATGAGCTCTGCTCCTGCTGGTTGGGGAGGCTGAAATTTTGAAATAGATTGGTTGGTGAATTTTGGATTAAGTGTTGTTATTATGATAAGGAGGACCTCTAAGATGAAGCTCAGATAAATTTGGAGGCTTATCAGCCTTTGAAGATCTCTCCCAGGACTCTGCACTCTTTTTGTCTTTGTATTATAAACTCCTTCTTCAGCAGCTTTTCTCTGGTTCAGAGTGATAGTTCTACAAGGCTGTGCCTACAGTTTCATTACAGCAGACTTTCAGCTCTAGTTTAAAAAAATGCATGCCAAGAATTACCCTAAAACTGGACATACTTTTAGAATTGATAGCTGAGCTGATGAAACCTACAGGTGCCTCCACAGTCTTGGCTGCCTGATCCCATCATGTGCCAGGTGGGCAGAAGGGCCCTGCTCTTCTAATGGAGACATCTGCAGAAAGACTTCATGCTCTGAGCACCCTGCCAAAGCTGCCTCTGCAGGGTCGGGTCCTGGGGAGAGGGAACTGCTGCTGCCTGATCGCTGAGACAAGGGCCAGCTGCTAAGGTAAGAGCAAAGGTTTCCCACTACCTGTGGGAGAGGGGGCACCTGGCTTCCTTAGAGAGGAGGGGGTAGGGAGATCAGGAGGAGGCTAATGTGCTGCTGCTTCTCCAGGATAGAGTGAGGCTACAGCAAAGAAATGAAGGATAGCAGTTAATCGTCCTGATGTAGGTGGGCAACCTTGACCCAGTTGTTTTCAAATTCTGCCTTAGCAGTTCCTTTGCCTGCCTGAGGAAGGCTTGGGCAGAAAAACTCTGTGTGAAAGAAGGAAACTGTGAGAGGTGCAGCCTACAAACAGGCACTGGAGGCCTTGCGTGCTGTTTCCTCATTCCCTACCTGCTTGCCCAAGTTGGGGACCTGAGAACGGGCAGTGTCAGGCATGGGGCGGAGAGGCCTGGAACACAAGGGATTGGTGGAAACAGCAAGCGGACAGATATGGGAGCACTCTGCCAACTTGCTCTAGGTTTTTTGCCTCAAAGAATATCAGGGCAAGCTCTTGGAGCTTCCTGCAAATGCTAGTGTTCCCTCCAAAGGAGGTGCCATTGCTCTGGCAGAGGCTGTGGCTCTTGGGGGGACCCCTGAGAGCGGTGGGGCTCAGAGAGACAGCAGCTTGCTGCCTGGTTTGCTTTGGAATTTGCCTCTGGGGTGCAGCACGGATTTGGGAGGGCTGTGGATAACTCTGTTGTTTTATTTTGTGTATGCAATATTACGGGCGCTTGGTAATCACCTGTGCCTCAGTTAGTTGCTCTAAAAGTCTTATTTGGGGCTATTCATCTGATTCTCTTCTCGGTTACACCAGTGTAATTCCATTTGGTAGCGTTACTCCCAGTTCTACGCTAGCAAGAATCGTGTCGCTGGAAACTTTAGGTCGTTTGCAATCAAAGGACGAAAAAGATGAATCTTGCTGAATTTTACGCTTGCCCATTTTACACTGGCTGTGAACCTGTTCCAAGTTTTGCAGAGTGGGAATTGCCCTGGCTGGAGCTGTGCTTGTGCAAATTACCTTCCTCTCTGTTCATGGGGTGGAGGCAGAGAACCAGGTACTTGTTCTGGGTAAGCCTGACTTTGTCAGGTTTTAAATCGTGGTAACTTCCCTGCATGCAGGGAAATGCCAGTTGATTCACGCCAGTGTAAAAGCACACATGGTCACCGCCCCCTGCCGAAGGTGGGTGTTTTGCTGACTGGCTCAGTATCACTCATCCCTTCCAGCAAAGGCGAGTTGCTGTAGAGGTTGCGTAAAGCAGAGCTCCCAAATATGTGAAAGCATTCTTGACTCTTTGCCCGGAGCCCACCAGCGCCTTTTGAAGATTAAGATACAAGTGATGAAGGCGATTCACCTTTGACTGAACAAAGGTCGTGTGAAAGTATGAACCCACTTGTGTTTTGCAAAGGGCTCAGGCAGACAAATGAGAGAAGCTTCCTTTGGAGCAGCCTCTGCTCTGGACAGTCAGCAGCTGGTTTGTGCTGACTTGAGTCAGGAAGGTTCATGTCAACTGGCTTGTAAAATGTACCTGGCGAGTGTGTGGGGGAGGGTGTCTGGGCACCCGCATTGTCAAGGTATGACGCACAGCCCACATGGGCACAGTGCTTCAGCTGCACCAAGGCCTGATGCTGTGTAGCAAACCCAAGTGTCCGTCCTCTGAGTGAGCACAGCAGAAGTGTAGGATTTGCCCACGCTGTCCTTTTCACGTGTTTCAACCTTGATAAGAAAGGACTGTCTCCCTGCTCATGGTAGCATCTCCTAGGGCTACAAGGGACTATTCTCTTTTTGGCGTATCAGATGATGGCACCAAGAGGAGGTTTTTGCAACTTTCATTAATTGTATTAATTATTCACCATCAGCTAAACTGGAAGCTCTCAAGTCAACTTCAGCTAATGATTATCTTCCAATATAGAGTATGTTCTGAATACTGCTATTAGCTGCTGAACTATCAGGTGGCCAACCCTGGCAGGCTGAGGACAGGACCACTTACTGTGAGTCAGCATGTGCTTTGCAGCGTTTGAAAGAAGCCCCATCTGTGGAACCTCACTCTGGTGTCTGGGTTCTCCTGCTCACAGCACTGGGACCCACTTGCTATCATAGTTGTAGATGAAGGAATCTTTCTTGAGTGTTTTGGGCGAATAAGCACCTACAAGGAGGAAGATGCATTAAAAAAGAGAAATATAGCAGCCTATGAGCTGAGTTTTGCAAGAGCTCTGGTATCCACAGCGCTAGGTGGAGGGCTCTGCTGTTCAGTTGTACAAATAAAACCCAATTTTTATGTCTTTACCCATGCTTATTCATTCCTTGCATCACCATCCAAGCAGCTCTGAGGATCTCTGTGTGGTGTGGTTCTCCATTGACCTAGTGGGAAAAGCAGCATCCTGTGTTTTGTTAGGACACCCATGCATCACATTTGGAGGTGTCCTGGCACTGTGATGGATACCAGAGAGGACCAAAGATAGGAGGGACTGAAACTCTTTCTGCATCTTCCTCACGACGTGAAAATCTTTAATGAGGTCAGTGAGGGGTCCCCTCTGCTCTGCTTTCTCACCTAGGTAATTCCTAGGACTGCTATAACTAAATTTCTGATTGATGAGACAGGTACTAGAACCCTCTGCACGGTCAGCCTGTGTGAATATCCTCATATCTTCTACTGGGAAGGGATGTTGGCCATAGAATTAAGGTTTAATGCTAATATCTGGTGTACATGGACTCAGTTTTAGTAAGCTGAGGATTGTCTTGATTGTATATTTGACTGTCACACCCAATCCTGTGCAAAGGATTACCTGGAGTTCTTGGATACACTGCAACTTTGTCTCCCAAGCAGCCCTGGCATCAATAACTAGTGAATAACCAGCCTTCTGGAAAGCTGCTGCTTTGTATCGGACACCAGCTAATTTCATTGTGAAGTATGTTTAGCCTCCCTGTAGTTCTGCTGTTGTTCTTTGTGGTATAGTACAGAACTATTCTGTACCTTCTTGTGGACAAGGGCTAAAGCCACCTCTAATCTCATAACTGGGAATTTTGATCCAATGGAATTTTCTTCCCCTCCTTTCAGGCTAGAGTTGAAAGGAGACTTATGGTATTTTTGGCAATAGAGAGAAGACTACAACGATGGACATGTTTGTGATGATGGTGTCTCTTTGTCCTTTTCATGCACTAACATGGTATTGCATGGGATGAAGGGAGTAGACTAGAAATACCATTCTTAATGATTCTGGGCCAGATCTTTAGCATGAATAAACTAGTCTAGCTCGGTTTCTTTAACTGAGACAGATCAATTTACGTTAGCTGGGGATCTTCTCCTAGTCTAGTCCACAGAACAGCTTGAAGGGAGTTAGCATGTTTACACAGTACATCACAAATCCTGGGATGTGATCTGGACACGGCTTCAGAAAAACCCATTTGTGCTGTTGCAAGGGCTCTGGAGAGACTGATGGCACCAACATGTTCACTAGCTGTTTGTGGCTGGTATGACTTCTGCAGCTAGGTAAGTTCATTCACTAGAAAGAACGGCAAATTTGCTACTATTTGCTCTTCTAGCCCTATGGTAACCTCCCAGAAGGACTTAAGAATCTTGGAAGAAACAAATAAGGCAAGAAATATGAGTCTGACTGAGAAAATAATGTTACTTGTGCCTAGCACCAATTAGCAAAGAGGCACTGAGGGACGTGTTCCACACACATTCAGCTGAGCCGTTCCTCACCCCGTGACTAGCTCTGTATCTCTGCAGTAAAGAACTGGAGACAAAGGACAAAAGGAAAGACAAACACAAGGGGACCACAGCAGGGTTTGTCCCTGCATCTGCCTCTCTTCTATCAATGCTAACGTCAGAGGGACAAAATTTGGGCACGCTTCCTCATGTGAGCCATCCCTTTGCCATCAACGCAACAACTTGCACTGCGAGGCTACCTGCGGGAGTGAGGCAGCCTGCCCACTGCTCCATACTGGACAGACTGGTAGCACCAAAACAAAGCGTGTTGCTGTAAGTCAGTGTGGTGTGTTTAACCCATTCCTCTTTGAGGGTGAGTCCCTCCTCCCCCTTCAACAGGCATTTCCTGATTACAAACTGCAGGATGTGTTTCTTCTTTCAAATTTATGTCTGGAAACCCCCTGGGGAAGCCCCTGGGGGAGAGAACAGCCAGAGTGGTGTAAAACCAAGGAGATTCGGTGCTGGGATGCTCTGCAGCGTTGCTCTCTGGCTGGGATATGGATGCTTTCTCTACTGTAACAAGACACACTTTTTTTTTTTCCTCTCTCCCTGCATCTGCTACTTTCTTCCATCAAAACAGTAAAACAACCCAGGTGAAATGTCTGTGGTACCAACAGCCAGAATTGTGTGATAGTTCTGTGAGTTACAGTGCATGTGTAGAACCTGTTTGTCAAACCTGCTGACAGTCAGTTATATTTTAATGGCCTTTATACCTCAAACATCCTTTTTTTCAATATTGCCCTTAAAAATAATAACATAAAATATGGACCAGTAAGTCAGAAAGAGGTGGCAGTCAGGACTCGAGCCCTGCTTCTGCCATGTTGCTCCTGTGTGGCCCTTTGGAGACCATTTAGCCCAGATATGCAAAGATATTGGACCATCTAAAGGTGTCAGGAGACACCACAGTCTGATCTCATAAGGATTTAGGCACTTGGTGCGCCATCATAAACCCACTGTCCCCGATTCACAAATGATCCCACATGCTACGTCCTACTGAGTTTAGGTGCCTTCTGGAAATGGTGTGCATCTTGAGGTGTCTACATGCCTTTGCAGATGGGCTCTCCTATCTTCTCTGCCTTGTTTCCTTCCTGTTGAGTGTGCAATTGCACTGTATAGTCACCTCTGCAAAGTGTTTTGGTGTCTCTAGTAGTGAAGAACAATTTTCATTTTTACCTGGCCCAGGCAAACCTTCCTGTGATCCTCTCCCTGTCCATCGCCCTGTGCTTGACAGGAACACAGCGCTCGAGCAGTCCTGCTTTGGAGACCCTTTGTAATCCACAAGCTCATATTGCCCAGGCCCAGGTGAGGGAGGGTCTTTACAGGGTGGGACGGCTGGAGCAGAGAGAGTCAAGCAGAATTTCTGCCTGTCAAGAGAGAAGAGACTTGAGAAGCTTGTCCTGAATTGATGGGGTTTTCGTGTCTGGAAATGAAGGCTGTGGTTTCTGTTAAGTGCCCTGGGGAGGTGGATGCTTAAAGGTCCTAAGCCAAAATCTTTGAGAAATGAACTGGGCATAAAAGGGTCCAATTGCAATGCCATGGACAGCTTGCTTTATTTATTGCAAAACACAAGACTAGCCAGTTGTCCAGACCCTGCCCTGTATCTGCAGAGACGTGGCTGCTCAGCTACTCTAGAGCCAGATAGCACTGAAGCCAAGACAGAGATGCCAAGTGACTCTAGCTGGGAGTTCTTCCCATTCTCTCCCACTGATTGAAATGGGAGAGGGCATAGACTTTAACCTCAGCAGATGGCCGTGGAGCACTTTGGCGTTTTCTGACAGAGCAGACCGGCGATCTTCTCGCCTCATATTTAATTTGCCCTTTCCTCTAGCCCTCTGTCCTTATCAAATGCCATTTGGCATTGCTTCTGTCTCTGCTTACAGCTTCCCACTCTTTTTACAAAGCCCCTGTCGTAAGATACAACTGCTGAGAGATGTAGTAAAGATACACCTGTTGGGTAAGGAGCCGTGGGCTTTCTCATGTTCTCATTCTTTTCCATGGTTAGGAATTTATTGTTGATCTTAATCTTAGGCTGGGCAAAGTCAGTGCATGGTGACAATAAATATACTTGAACAATTTGCTGATAGGTAGATTTATTTATCTTCTCATACGCTACCAAGGGGGAAGAGGGCTTGGGGGAAGGGAGTTTCCTTTCATGCCTTTAATGCCTTGGAAACAAGGGGTAGAATGGGAATGGCAGTTCTAGGTTGAAGGAAGCGTTTGACGTTTTGCAAGCCTCTTTTGAACTCTAATTCCCAGCCTTAGCAGGGGCTGAGGAAATGCCCATGCTTTACCCATCAAGTCTCCTGAGACCCTGTTCAGTTGCTCCCGGATCTGGCTAGTGTGTTCCTCTGGGGCTGAGTTCAGGCACTGGCAACACAAAAGAAACAGAGCCTAGTGCTCAAAGCCTCTGCCTAGGATGTGAGAGCTGCAGGCTCCTTTTGCAGGTCATGTGCGCTCTGGCTTTGTGCTCTGTAAAATGGGGATATGAAATTACCCCTACATCATAAGGGTGGTGCAGTATTTAATTACTGTTTGTAAATGTCTGAGAGATCCTAAGATAAAGGTACCTCTGATACACTGCTCCAGGGTGCTATCAACCCACACTCCCCTTCAAGGCAATGCACTGCGACACTTCCATTTCTGAGCCAGTTCCTCTAAACCCTTGGCAATAACTGACCATATTGGACCGCATTACATAGTGGGACCCTGTGGGATTCCTCTGCTATTTGAGGTATTTTCATATGTCCTATAAAAGTGGCGTGTCTTCCAGAGCTGGACTTACCTGAAAGGAGTTTTCTTTGCTTCCTTGGTAGGTTTATGTGGCTGTGTTGGGTAGGTTGCAGTCTGTGTAATGAATCTGTCCATCTTTGTCGGATGGGAGGCCTTTGATTTGAAGCAAGATGTTATACTCTTGGGAGACACCTTGATGAGGGAATCGTTGATGTTGTAGTGACCTGCAAAACAAACAGGAAAGGGATGTAAATACCAAACAAGGCCACAACAGTGGCACTGAGGAATGAGAGTGCATCAGTCAGTGAATGTAATAGAAGGAAAAAGAACTGGTATAACAGGATTGTGTGGGGAAATCATTTCTGGATTTAAAAAGTGCTGTCTGGGCAGAGCTTATTTCGAGGGATACTGATAAGGCAACGCTAAACTTTGTCCTGAGCACAGGAACAAACGGAGATATTAGCAATTTTAAAGAATCAAACAGGAGGAGAACTCGTGTCTGGGAAAACTTGTAAGATAGGTTACAAAGCTAGGAGCCCTCACGCTCCAGGTCTAAACCTCACCAGGCAATGGGCCAGGAGTAGCCTTCTTTTGCTGCTAGAGTACTGTGGAGCTGAGTATATTATGCACTAATGTGGCTTCTCCTGAAGCCTCTGGCATTCATACGGAGCTGTAGGGTGTTCTAGTGATTCCTTATGGCTACTCAAAACTATCAGGATGGTTTTCCGAATGGTTGTCTCGGATTCAAAGGGGCCTACCCACAGGTCTTGGAAGGGACTCACTAGTGCCCTGACACCTGCTCAAACCCAGCATGCCTTTAGAAGTCCTGAGTGACCCAAATCTGTGTGTGATGGTGCTCTGCGCCCCACAGAATCAGACCCAGAATCACCAGCAACACCTTTCCTACCAGCTCAAGACTCACTCACATGGAGAAGGCAATTTTCCAATTTTTTCCAAATTTAATCCTCTTGTGGTTTTGGACACAAACACGGCATGGGCAGAAACACTGTTGCTTTGCTTGCAGAAATCCACAGAGGTCTGTTTTAGAAAAAGGGCTTGTGAATACCTTTGAATTGACTTTACCTGTGGGTAATTACCAACAAAGGAAAACCCACATTTAAAATCCAGTTGTCTCCATCATGAATGGTTCTAATGATACAGCTGTAGGCAGCATTAGGGCCAAAATCTGGGAGTGCTTACCAATTGTAGGTAGGTCTCTTTGTGACTGCCCAGCATGTAAAAGTTGCTTTTACACAGACGCTGAGGACCTGAAGCTCTTGCAGAAAATGTGGCTTTGTGTGTTTAACTGCTGTCTCCAGACTTCTCCCACATCGCCTCTACCTAAATGTCCGGCTTGGTTCAAGCCACTGACTTAGCCCAGAATTTGAGGTGGCGCTGCCAAGATGGCATCTGCATGACAGCACCTGAGAACCTCTGCAGAGCAAAGGGTATGTCTCCATGGCTGTTGCTGCTGAGACTGTAGCACGGGCTGATGGCTTTGAGCTAAGGACAACCAAAGAATTTGTATTTCAGTTTGTTCAAGCCTGCTCACTGCAAGTAACTGCTGGAGTGCTTGTGCCCGCCTGCAGCCTGTGCCAGGCTCAGTGTGCAGCACTGTTGTTATGCCGCTAGCAGTCTCTGAGCTAATTAACTTGGACAGAGGTGTCAAAAGTCCTTGGGGGAGCAGGTCACGCAGCTCATGTGGCGTGCTCAGCTACCTGCCACAGTCACTCTCCTGATGCATGCTGCACACTACAGATCATCTACAAAATATACATAGAAACACATTTTATCCACAGCTCCTAAGGAGCCTCAAACTCACAGTGATACCTGCTCTCATTAAAGACACAAAAAAACAATGGTGCAAAAGCTGATGAGAGTTGGCCAAAATCACAAAACAGATCAATGGTGAAACGGGACAAAGGAAAGACCCTTTAGGTTCCCAAGATAATCTTATCTCCTGGCACATGCTACACTATGTAAAGTTATTTATTGCTGTCTGTGCTGAAATTGATCTTTTTTCCAAGCATCGTATAGTTAGGGAAACTCATAAAAACATCTGATGGTCAAGGTTAATTCACTAATATAAGTGGAAGAGTCCAGTTGAAGCACAAGAGCGTGGAGGTAGCAAAAAGACACTTGGATAAAAGATTCAAACATGAAAGACTGACCTATTTTTCCTGTTTTCTTATTTTTCCTTTGTTAAGCTAGTGAAATGCCTACAGAAGTCATGACGATTCACTGGCTTCATTTTAAAATTGCGTTTGGTCCCAGGGCTGAAGACAGCTTAGAGGACAGCTTGGGACACCGTTTTCCTGTTGCTCAGTCTTTTTTTTTTTTTTTCCCCCCTAATATTTGTTAATTTTCAGCTGTCACTTCCTCAAGGGCAGATCCTTCAGTTCTTAGAAGTTCCTTTTTGCCTGAGTAAGAGCCGTGACCATGTAAAGACTGCAGGATTTGGCCTTTTCTTCTCAGATGTCTCTTTGTCTATAATCATAAATTATCAGGCGCTGCCATCTTTTAAATAGATAGTTTCCTGTTCTGCTTCTTGTAGGTTAGATATTATCTCCTATAGTAAATCATGAGTCAGTGATTAATTCAAGAAGGCCGTTCCCAGAAGCAAATTCTTACAATGTTAAAAATAATATGATGCGAATCCATTATACTATGATATAGAAAATAATTATGGCTTGCAAACTAGTTTAATCAACTTAGAACATGCTGGGGCAGATACTCAGGCAGAGTGAATCATTTTAAGAAAGTTCACTGTCTTAGTGTTTAGGTGTACGAGCGACCATGATTACCCCATGTCAGCTGAGTCTCAGTAACTGTGCGTATGTGCTCTTCGCACACCCAAACTGTGAGGTAAGACGTGGTTGTTTAAAACACCTTTGCTGATGTTTAAACCGTATCAAATTAACTTATAAGAGCATGAATTGCTTCAAGAACATGCATGCAGCTAGTGAAGATGTCTCAGCTATGAGTAGCAACTTATTAAGCTTATTAAACTGTGTCATCTTCATTCTGTATTCAACAGCTATGCAAAGTCATCAGATGTTACAAAGACTCAACATGCTTTACCTCACCACACAGTGGATGTAACTTCACTGAGGTGCAGTGTAAAAGGGGAAGGCTTACTGGGAAATGAGTGCAATCTAAATAAACAGAGAGACAGTAGTTGAGCAGTCATGCTGTGCAGAAGAAGAAAAAGCTCTCTCTCTCAAGAGTAACAAAACAATCTAAATGTAATCACAGCTATAGCAGGACACCACTGAGGGGACAGGGAAGTCTATAAGCACTAACTATTAAACTAGTCTAAGTGTGTATATTATTATAATTTATCTGATAACTGCTAATAGCACTTTGTGTTTTGTTAAGATCTCCCATTTCAGTATCTCAAAACACTCTGAATTCCTGTGGACTAAAGCTTACAACAGCCCAGTGAGGTCTGGTCACCATGGCATGGGTGGAGAGCATCAGGCACAGAACAGTTAACTGACTTATACAAGAGTGAATCAGCAAGAGGTTCAAGAACTGAACCTGAGGGCTAGGTCCTCAGCTGATATAAACTGGCACAGCTCCACAGCAAGTGGAAGGGCACAGTCAGTTACGTCAGTTTTACATATGCAGTCTTGATTTCCAGCTTTGAGGTTGAACCTCAAAACCCAATACCTGTTAAAAGATGTGAAACTACCCACCTCAAGCACCTTAGCAAAAGTCCCCTACACCCAGCCAACACAGGTAGTATTTCTGGGATGACAACCCATGAGGTGCTATAGGGTCTTTCAGTATAGAAGCCAGTGATGCCGCAAGAAGGACAGAGGTTGCTGCAGGCCTGGGTCAAGGATGTGTTCTCACTCCCTTGGTACTGAAGAGTTACTGCCCGATGTGTGCTCGAGGTTTGCAACAGGCTGGAGTACATCTGCAGCACAGAGGTGAGACCGCAGATCATGCAGAAATACCTGAGCTAGCTTCATGCTTGTTGACTTAGATACTGATGCCAAGCTAGCCACAGTGGCACAGACCTCAGGATAGCCAGGCACGGGATAAGTACTTAGTGGGCTAGTTCCTGAGCCCAAGCTCTGGGCTATTCTGAGCTGCACCCAAACTAGCTAGGTTAAAGCTACCTCCAGTGTTTTCTGAGGTACAATAACACCCTTGTTCACTGCTTAGCTAGGAGAGTTTGAGCTGTGCCTACTGTTGACAAGAATGTACTGACTGTGAAGATGTGGGACCAAACCAGTGATAGCCAATAGGCCTGTCCCATTCTAATCTATGATGGATTACACCAGAACAATTGCTTTCATATATATCTCTGCACATAACAAGCATTACACGTTAGCTGTGCCACCCTCGTCCTCGCCCGCAAGCCTCCTTACGTGGTATTGATCAGGTGCTGGCATGGGGATTTTTTCAATCTTCCCAGCAATGGGTTGTTGAAACATGCTAGAGTTTCCCTTGCTAAAGTCTTGCTTGGACTGAAAACATGATGGGATCTTGTAGGCATTTGCAGCTGGATAGCTGGCGATTTTGCTGTGTGCAATGCGTGCAACCTGGAAGCAGAGGGAGCAAGGAGATTGTCAGTAGCTGAGCTGGAAAGAAATTGGGAAATAACTGAGGCCTAGAATTTACCAAATATAATTTTTAAGGACAAATCACCTTTTGCATTTTAAAGACAGCAGAAACTGTGCTGCAAGTTCTATGAGATGAAATAGGGGGATCCACTTTTTCAGCTACTAGTCAATTTCTTCCTTCTGGGGTGAAGAGATGCTCACCAGCTTGCCTAAGGTTTTTCACTTAAGTCTTGTGTTAGAACAGATGCTGAAGTCGTTCACTTTAGCCTCTTTCCAACAGCCTCATACAATATTTTAACCGAGTCCACAAACTGTGTGTATGGATCCTTCTCTATGCCTTTGGAACTAAACAACAGCTCTGCCAATTTTGCTTAAGAGAGTTCATCCAAAATTAAAATGATCACCTCTTCTTGGAAATTGAATTGAAAAGGTAAGAGCACATGAAAAAGCAGTTTAGAATAGCTGCTGGAATTCAAGCTTAATTATAACTGTGTCTGTTAACAGTGAGAAATTATTTTCCTTCCTGGCTGGATTTTAGAAACATCCTCAATGCCACACTAAATAGGTAACCAAGAAAAGCACAACAGAGTAGGCTAAAGACCAGATCCATAGTCCACTGAAGTCAATACAAAAGCATTAGCTGACTTCAATGGCTTTAGAAATCAGTCTGAAAAAAACTGCTTCCTCTTACCAGGGAAGGAAAGTATCCAGTTCCTTTCTGAGACAACGAGGTGCTGTTGCTCTCTGCAGACTGATGAGTGACATTATAGAATCCTGGGCCTGGGTTTTCATTCTAGCAAGAGAAATATCACACATGGTGACCAAGCTGCATTAGCCACCATCCTCCTGGGGCAGATGCAATGAAATACAGGCATAGATTCACACTGATTTTAATGGGACAGCTCCTTTTCTCACTAAGCCCATGCTCTTCATCTTTCTGAGCATAGGCCAAAACACACTGGTTATTTTAGCAGTGACTCTGAGAATAGTGAAGCTGGAACACAGCAGTGATCCACATAGTCCATTCTCCTCGTTCTCAATGCCCAGGGCCAAATACTTCAAGAAAAGGTACAGAAGAGCAGCCTACTGAGGATCATTATATGTATCTAAACATCTTTTAAACTTCGCTTGCTCTTTACTAGTCCTTATGGCTGTGAGTTCCGTAAATGAATGACTTCTGTTTTTGTTTTTTTTTTTTTTAAATTTGTATAACTGTTGCTCCCAATAGCTTTCATGGTAAATTACCACTCCAGCCTACAAATAGAAAATGAACAGTTTATATACTTCCTTCTTTCAGGTTTAAATTTGTTGATTTTTAATTTTATGCTGACATCCTTCTGTTTCATACGATATGGGAAAAGCTTACTACGCCTCTTTTTTTAAATTCTCCCCCATACATTTCAAGCCAAGTCTTATTTGCTTCCTCTCTAAACTAAACATCTTCAGTGTTTTCAGTCTTTATTGGGACTTTAATGATCATATCACATATTTCTAAACTGAGTCTATTTCTGCTGCAGCCTTTTTTAGAGTTAGGGTGGCCACAAGTGAACATAACATTCCAGCTGAAGGTGTACTCACAGCATATATAATGTCTTTATTTTCTGTATCATTTTCCAACCCATCACTTGCACCATGAATTTTCTGTTTTAATTGCAATTGTGCATTGAGGTAGATGTTTTTATTATTTCCAAATTATAATCTTTTAATGCAAGTCTCCAGTTGCATGGAAAAATGAGCATTTCTGAGTATGAGGAAGATCAAATTTCCCTACTATCTACAGGGCACTTTGTACAGACTGGGAGCCACAGCAAATCTAAAATCTCACCTGTAACATCTGAGTTGGGCCTAATTAATTCAGCATGTGGGCAGAACGCATTATTCGCAGTCGCCACACCTTTCCTGACTCTGTTCTTTTTCTGAGCTTTTCAAAAAGAGAACTGGGCGGGATTCTATTTATAGAGCCAAATAAATTAAAAGCAGCCTATGTCGTACACGATGACACTTCCAGCTTTTCAGGCGTGGTCCCATGAAGTGCTGAATGCCCTTAGTAACATTATCTACTTCTGCCAGTCCTAGAAAAAACAGTGGGATTTGGAAGATCTGGGATCATACAGGATGAATGAGACAGCCCTTTATGAACAGAAATGTTAGATGATGCTGGTATGTAGGATGGAAAGAACTTAGGCTCTTGACCTTTAAGAGCATTCTATCATTATGCGACCTTCATTAATTATCTTGTCTGCCAGCTATGAATGGAAAATATTCTGGACAGAAGCCCAGAAGTTACTTTGTTTCTGCTCTGATGAGTTCAGAGGAGGATTCAGACAGTGATCAGATGCCCCAAAAAACAGTGTGGGCATAACATTGGGAGAAAGAGAATAGGCTTCATGGGACTGAAGAATAATGAGCCAGTGGGTGGTGGAGAGGAGGTAAAGGAAGTATTTTGGGCATTACCTCTCTCCTGCAAAGACACAAGCCTGAAGGTAGGGATTTGACTGTGCAGAAGTCTTTGCAGCATCCAGAAAGAGCAGGAGAGCCACAAGGATAAAAACAGGGAAATGGGAGACTGCATAAGACAAGTACATGGTTGATTGAAACCCAGCATCCAAACAGGACTTGTGTTGATGGCCATACAGCAGAAGCAGGCATGGAGTGACCCACTCCCTTTTAAGAAGCAACTAGAAGTGGCAGAATCATCCCAAGAAGCAGAATATCTTTTGCCAGGCTCTGACCATGTTGTGCCTTGCAAAAGAGGAGGCTGAAGGGAAGAATGGGTGGGAATGGGCAGGCAGCGCTATCTATCGGAGATGTTTTGGGATTGAGGGAGCCTGGCTACCTCCCGTCTCTGCTGTTGACTTATGATGAGATCGTGGGCAAACCAGCTTCACTAATCCGTTTTTCTGCTGCAGCAGTGTTGTTCTTTGCTATGTGCATGGAATTACAAGTGTAATGGTGCTACTGCAGTGCTAAAAATAATAAAATCAAAAAATATGCCAGTTCCATTATATTAGAGGGCACTGGGTATGAAGCAAGTCCAGTGGAAATATCTTGCAAAACGCCAGTATTCTGTAAGCCATAGGACTGTGCGAGTACAGTGCTAAACTGGCACAATTACAAAAGTGGGTCAACTCACTTGTTAGGTATTCCAGGTCAAGTAGTGAGAAGCAAATAAGCTCTTTACATTGCCTAAATTACAAGCGGATAAACTTCATGCACTGGCATTTATCCCTGACTACCCTGCTGAAGGAATGTGCTCCAAAATGGGTTGTGCTGAAGAGTCAAGTGTTTTTGGTGGAGGAAACTAAGCAGTCCCAGAAAGGTCTAGTGTTAATGGAATTAATGCTTCCCCTCCTCTACTTGGTGCAGTAACTTTTCTCTAGGGATAAAGCTTAAGAAAGAATCAGCCAAGCCCTTGTGTAGCTTGTGGTTTGGCTTTCTGCCTGCTCTGCCCTTCAAGCAGGAAATTCTCAAAGGGAAGGGAGCGCTTTGTGAAGCTACCTGAAGACTATGCCTCTTCTCTTTTAGTCAGAACTTAGCATCAGGTCATCTGGAACTCCTGGAAGCTGACCAGACAGACTGATGGCGCCTACAGAAGGTATTTAAGCAACTTCTCTACCTTGATCATTTTCCCTCATCTTTTGTCCTTTACGTCCTTGATTGCTGTTATTCAATCCTGAGATAATATGCTCCTGATATCACTGAGATGGGAGAGACAAGCAAGGAGGAAGAGATCAAAGGAAGGAGAAGAAAGAGAAGATGCTAAAGGCAGAAGAAGAAAGAGGGAAGATATTTTCCTGATTTACCTACTTTACCTACCTGGCACACAAAGTTACAGAAATTCTGAATACACTTAATTTTCAGAGTTCAGGGATTACTACATAGTCACCAGACGGCAGGAGACTGTCAGAAGGAGCAGGCATTCTCTGTTCACCAGCAGAGGAAGTAGCTTGAAAGCTGGATCCAGGAAGCACGGGAGGGCCTTGGCCCGTGTGACTGCTGTCTGGACTTAAAAAGAAACCCTGCGTAGCCCAGGCCAGGAAAGCAGTATGATTTTATAGCATCTTTCTGCTTCCCTCTGCTGGCCAGATAACAGATGTACCATGTAATTCCTACAAACCAGGAAAGGACTGGGGTGAATATCAAAAGATGAGAGGGCTCATATTATGCTATTATTACACAAGCGTAAGGCTGAGTCAACTCTACTGATTTCTTTGAATTTGCTCCTGAATTTCAGGAGAGATGCAATATATATGTATTGTGTCCTGGGGAGCTCTGGAAGATTGGAAATGGGACCAGGGCAAACCTGGATGGGTGAGAGATGAGGAGAAGGTAAAGAAGAGGGTACTATATGTGGGGTAATTTCAAGGTTTAAACCATAATATTGTTTTACCATTTTCATCATACAGTCATCAGCTGCGACTGCAAAGCTAGTTTAAGGACCTTGATCTACACTTAGCTGCTATTCTTGGTTACAAAACAGGATCATTATGAGTTGCAAAAAAATTCAAAACAAAGACATAAACTTCAAACATTTTGTTACTCACCTGGTTATACTGAAATCTCTTTGATTGAGAATTAAATCCCTTTTTTTCTGAGTTTAAGACTACGTTTGTATGATGTTTATAAGGACCAGAGGAAACCTTGAAACCTAAAAGGAACAGCCAATAAAAAGAAAATTCTGAATATGGAGATACAGGGAACATGTAACTGGAATACCTGCTTTCATATTAAATAAGATGTATAAGTTAAAGGCAAATCTAACATTACTGCAATATTCAAGAAGTCAAGAAATCAGCAGTCGTTTCTGCATTTAGTTTCCCTGATTTGTTTAAGAAGCAAAGAGAAAAAAAGCACTTTGAAGCACTTCAGTGTTGATGAACAGGCTTTAAAGGTGACTCAGTGCACTTAAATAACTTTTGCAGCACGTCCTTGTTTAGTCAGGCATTTTAGCAACTCAGTTTGTGGGGCTGACCCTCTCTCAGACTGAACATTTGAGGAAAGATGCTGAGTATCCCTCGCTCCTGGGGAGCTCAGTCAGATGCTAACCTGTTCAGTGCTTCCCAAGAAGTGGTGTGCTTTGCAGGCCACGACTCAAAGGCCTTGGCTTTGCAGGATTGTTGAGGCAGAAGCTGCAAGTTTTTTAAATCACATAGTCTCTCCCAGACACGAAAAAATACTGGTGCCTCATCTAGTCCAGACTTGGTGTTATTACTACCAGTCACAGAGCTGCATCAGCAATAGTGCATCAATAGGATATTTTAAATATAAGCTCAGTGAAAATGCAGGCATGTTTCTGACAAGGGATGGTGTATGTCCTGAGATAAGCTCTGCGATTAGTGGGAAGATTGGTTAGTGCAGGGGAGAGATCTGAATAATTGCTAGGGAAAAGGTTCTCACATTACAGTGGTAGTGTTTGGAAGGACAGGAGGTGGTCAGTGCTGCAAGAGCAAGGAGTAAATAAACTTTCCACTGCCTTGAGAACTAGAGGGTTATGCTTTGATGGCATTTCTTAATCCCTTGTGCTGGTTTAAATGTCCCCAAGGAGAGCAATTTTGGACTTGGGCCTGAAACACCTCTAACTGGCTGTGGATATAAAGTGATCTGGATGTCACTCTCTATTGACTAGTTTCACTAATGAATCCTTGCTCTGCTTTGAAAGAAAATTTGCACGGTTCAGCTATTTCTTCTTCCGCTGTGAAATGATTGTTAAAGTGTGGTTTCCGTTCACTATATTGCACCGTTTGGTGCTTTTCTGCTCAATGTACCTTTTTTCCCTTCCGAATGTCCAAGAGCATCAGAGAAAAGGCTCTTAAAGCAGGTACCCATGTTACAGAGCTATGGCACATCGAGTGAAACGACTCCGTGTAGCATCACCATTCTGTTTCTGAAACATCAATCAGAGGTATTAACATGCAGACAGAGGCTGACCAAACGGGGTAGTCGTTTTCACAGAGATGCAGTGCCAAAGCATCGCTCATCACCTCTCTTTTCGCCACGAGCGATTCAATGAACCTTTGCAGTGCTGCTGGCCTCGGTGTTAAAGGTGGCAGGACTGGTGCCAGGGGCATCCGTCTTTCAGGTAGGGGAGACCGCGGGGTAAAGGGGGCGGGGGAGGTGGCTGCTGTCGCCGTGGCGTATCTTGGAGAGGGAGAAGGGCCTCGCTACAGCCCGCTCCTGCACGCACGGGAAGAAATGGCGCCCGCCAGCGGACGCGGGGCTCTAGAGGTGGCGGGAGATGGGCCAGGGAAGCGGACAGGAGCAGGCCCTTCGCGCAGGCTCCCGGCAGGGCACCCCCAGCACCGACCC